AATTAGCTGCTGCTTCCGTGGATATTGCAACACACGAAATAGATGTAAGGATACAGCTATAATATCCACCGCACACCACAGACTTTATCGGCCGCCTATTTAAATAGTAGCTTGAAATATGTACATGAAGATGTATGGAGGTGCGCGCACTACACCAGCTTAATCGCTCCGACCAATTAGTTGTGGTGCAATGGAAAGAATAGCGAGCCCAACTAAATCGGCGGCCGATAAAGTCTGTGGTGAGCGATGGATCTAAAACATTTTAAACAAGAAATTTTACCGTTATATTTTCATTTTTATGATTTTTATTCATGTGATTAGCAGTGGCAAAAAAGTATGTATTAAATACGTATACGTATGTATATTAAAAATGAAGTGATTATTATGAAACATATAAATCTTTACATGTTCTATTAAAAAATATCTAAAATAACAAGCGAAAATACCCAAGTACTATATCGGAGTAGTTTGTTTGTGCGTGCTTGTCACGGACACGCTTTATGTAAAAAAAAATTGAAGTGAAACTACCTTCTAAAAATTATTGTATCATGATTTTCTAGATCAAGTCATTTTCCCAAGATATTTTCATTTTTATGGAAAAAAATCCAATTTTTACAGATAAACAATTAAAAAATAACAGATTTATTGTAAATTTTTTTTTCGTTTGTATTAAGGCCTTTTACAAAAAAATCAAGCTACTAACTATAGATAAATAAAAATGTGTGAATGGTTAAAGGAAAATACGTAATTTGTTTATGAAATAGTATGAACATAGTATGAATAGTATGGAAAGAATGTTACTCATACGCCATGTATGTATGTACTTGAGAGTGGTCCAAAAACAGTAAAGTCGGAATTTTATTGCCGCCACCGCCTAGGATTGTTCTATACGGAAAAAAATATATATTCCAATTTTTTCATTTTGAAATCAAAAAATATTTAGGGAGTGCTGAAAGCGCTCAAAGTTTTCCATGTATTTTATATGCGGAAAAAAAACTTTTCGTAGAAATGGTATAGAATTCTTGAAAATCGATATTTTTCGATCGGAAAACTCTAGTTCTCTTCAGGAGACTTCCGGTACTAATATATAATTCTTTATTTAACCATTTTTCAATACTAAAGATTTTTTATTCGTCCTCCTATTGCATTTTCTGGCGGTTTCGGCGGACCTATAAAATATAGTAACAATGAAAAAATGGTTGAAGAAAACATTGCGTATTATTATTGAGAATCTGAGGGAAACTGAGCTTTCCGATCGATAAATTATTGATTTTCAAGCATTCTATACCATTTATACGAAAAGTTGTTTTTCCCTATATAAAATACGTGGAAAACTCCAGTGCACGGACTTCGAAAAAATTTATATTGGTAGATTTTACTTACAAAAAATGGTGGAAGTTGGTTGATTTTTTAAAAGAAACAATATCAGAAAGTTTTTACTAATTAGGATAAAACATTGCGAAAACATAAAATATTGTGTTACCAGAGCAGATAGATTTTCGACTCGGTGGCTTTTAATGTCAAAGTGATTCTGTAATCTTTACGGGCATTGTGCGTAAAATTGTTTAGTGTACTTTTTGGTTTTTGTACTCCTGCTATTATTTTTATATAAAACAACAAAAATGTATTTCACGCAAATAAATTATTCAACAAAAAACCTATACATAAACCTATAAAATGACAGCTGTTTTTTTCTTGTATTCAATTTTAATCGAAAAAGCGAGCTCCTATCGAATGCCCAAAAAGAAATTTCGTATACAATTTAGTTCAATCACGGATTCCCTGATTTGGTCCCTGTATTAATGTAATAGGAGGGAAGCGTCTATAAAAAAAAAAATGTATGCATATTAAACCAAACCTATATACATATGTCTATGTTATTGGACACGCTGAATGCGAATACGAAGTTCTTTAGCCCCCAACACGTCCAAGTTCGTGGTCAGTTGAAGGTCAAGTAGGGAAAAATTCGTTGAATAAACCTGAAAATTCAATACAATTCTTCTGAATTTAACCTTGGGATGACCTTGGAATGACCTCTAAATGGCCTTGAGGAATCATGGGAGCCCCATATTCGGATTCAGCGACAACAAAAACATTTTTTTTTTTTTATTGAATAAATTTTTGGTCCTATTGATGGCCTCGAACCTGACATTATGGAGGTTAACGGTTTCAGAGTACATGTAAAAATAGGAAAAGCTCTGCGAATCCCGTCAGGTTTTCCTTTCATAAGCATTCTTTAAATAAAGTCAAATTACGGACCATTACAACCAATTCATTTTTAATCAGAAGCAATTCGTTGTTGATTTAATTTTTAATTAAAATTTGCAAACGGACGTGACAGATTTTTCCCCCATACATTATTTTTATTAGTAATACATATGTATGTATGTATATAATTTAAGCTTCTCAGTTCTTCTTTCCACCGTTTCGCGTTTTCATAACATTATTTCGCCATCTGAAAACGCTATTTTAAGTTATAAAGCCGTTAGAACTCCCCTGCAGGGAAACCGCGGACTAGTGAATCAAATTTCTAGTTCCGTACTAGGTCTTTATCGCCAAAAAGGAACTAGGCCGATAGGAACTAGATCCCAACCAGTCCAAAATCGGCGAAAAGTGTAAAAGTACCACTTATCTACCAAAACTATTTTTTTTCATTTTTTTCACTAGAAATCTATATCTAAAGTGACGAATTTAGAAATGGTTCGGAACTATAGAAAAAGGGATGCAGAACGAACTAGGTCTTATTTGTCCAATTTAGAACTAGTTCGGAACTATCGAATAAGGGATGCAGCTTGGGGGCTTGTTTACTTTACATAGATATGTGTTCGGCGGCTTTTTCGTTCCAATACGCTTCTATTCTGTGCTTCGCAGATGCTTTTTCATAGCTTGGTAGCATTTCAACATCTTGGGACCGTCTGGAATCTAAGAAATAACAGCGAGCACCTCTGTAAACTCAGCTACAGCTAAAGGTATGTAAACGTACATTTCTTACAATCATTCAAACAAATTTGATTTCAAATTGAAAACACATTTCTTCCAAAATAACTTAAAATCGCACACACGGAAAAACCAAAAAGATTGAAAAATCATGATACTTTTTTCTTTCGTCTGTCGATTTTAGAACTGGTTCGGAACTATAGAATTTAGGACTAGTTCGGAACTATCGAAAAAGGGATGCAGGGGGGGGCAATTGACACTTCCTAGGACATCGCCATGTTAAATTCGCCAGTTGCTTGCATGCAAAAGAGATTTATCGCGAACCAGTACTGGGTCTAAATGTACTAGAAGCGCACCAGTTCAGAACTAGAGATTTTCCCCACAGGGTCATTTACTTGTATTTACATTTTTATAGAAACAATGTGGTGGCTATGTGGCTTGCAACATCTAAAATATAAAAGGTTTTCTGCTAACAGAGGTCCTCCCCGGCAGGTAATGGCAAACCTCTGAGTGTTTAGTTTTTGTCTAGCTGAGTTTTGAGAAAGTATCGAGCTCTCCGTACTGCTCGATATGCGGGTATCTAGAGCACTAGCATGCATGATAAAAAAATAGGAAGGTAGAACCGCTGAGAGGAAATTTTTAAATTCTTGACGTTTGCAAGCAATTTAATTTTAAAATTTTACACACAAACTCACACACACATTCTCATTTTCAATCTCAAACAACAACAACTTTGAACAATTCCTTTTCTTTACTCTCAATTTTATATAATTTTAAAATGTTGGCAAACTTCAAAAAAAAAATCATGGCCGACGAATTGAGAGAACGGCTTTACCTTACTATGCTTTTATCGTGATAGCATGTATATTTTTCCAATTTTAACTCAAGAAAATATTAAACACTTAAAATTTTTAAATTTACCATATTTGAAGCGATACCTAAGGCAAATTGAGCTTATTTTCTCATTTGTGCTACTACTAGAATTTGAATTTATTAGGCAGTGTTCCGGGACGTATGAGTAACATTTAAACCGAATAAGAAACGAAAGTTACCTGATCCGGAATATCGGGAAGACACATACACATAAATAACTTAATTTTAGCCATATTTGCAGAATATATGTATAGATTTGAAAGTCAGGGTACTTATTTTACCCAAAGAGACTATTTTTTTTAATTCTCAATCTCAAAATCTTTAAATACAGTTACATCTATTTCGCAGACAGGCTGATTGATATCGCTACGAAACGGAACAATGAGTGTCTGGTATGTGGAGACTCCCCGCACGACACTAACCACCTCTTCAAATGCCAGCTCAGGCCCACTCAACTAACATCCCTCTCCCTTTGGTCCGACCCTGTTGAAACTGCCCGTTTTCTGGGCCTACCGCTAATTGAACTCGAGGACAATGTTTGATGGACAAACCGAAACTGGCGAGGCGTAGTGCTTTCGAGTTTGGAGTGGTGGCCAATAACAACATAAGATAACTCAAAAGAGTTACGACGTACGCCAACATTTATAGTTATAACTTTGAAGTAGCGAAGGCCTCTGTTTACTAGTACCTCCGATAGTGAGAGCCCGTTGATCAAGCGATGTATATCGCTCGCCAACAGCTGGTATTCTATGCAGATAAACAGAAATCACGCACACATCATGCAATGCCTTTCATATAGCGCCAAAGAAGATTGAATCGTATGAGATAGGAGTGCAGTGGTTATATGGTATGTAAGAATGTTGGTGTCGTACGTAAAGGCGAGAAGATTAAGTATTTTAGAATGAATTTCCGTCATTCCTTATCAAGTTTGGCCTGGAAACAAATCGATTTCGGCGTCGTAACGACTTTCTAATATGTCTAAGATATCCACATTGAGGAGATTACAAAGTTTTATATCGGTTCAAAATGATTTGTAGTTGGCTCCATGATTCGTTATACATATGTACATATATACATAACTCCCTGTGAATCCCTCAATAGTTTTTTAAGTATTCTGCTTGAAAGTGTGAACATTTAAATAAATACTGGTGTTTGAGATATTTGAAAGCATTCGCATAGCTAACACTCACCAAAATTAAGAGTCGTCCTCCCACGCAGCAATACCGACTTTATCATACCTTCAGGCTCAGTTGCATTAAAGGCAGACGCTTTTACATACATGCATGCGAATTTAGTCCACTTGAACTCGAAGCTCTGTGTCATGAATGGCGGATTTGTTGATTCCTTGTTGCAATTAATGATGTGTACTACTTTCCTGTCTGCAGTGCAAGTAAGTACATACGAAATCGTTTACATATATGCCCATAACTATATCTATGTATGTATATATGCGCATTCGCCAATTCGAAGCCTATTTGAAAAACTGAAAAATGGAAAACATTTCTAATAACTTTATCCAAATCAATAAGAAACGGATGCAGTAGTGTAACATTAGTGCCACGAAACTCAATACATATAACCGTTCAAATATGATCGTAGTTTTGTTTGATTTATTTAATTTGTTTGTTTTCCACAGTCGCTTAATTTGTGGTACTCTTTTTGGAGCACCAATTGTATTGTATTGTATAGATGTATTTACTACATGCATGCTCCACAATGTTTATTTGTGTATGTATAACAGTGACCTAAGAAAATCGATATCCTGACAACACAAACTGAAACTAGGCGAACTACAAACACACGGACGCTCGTTAATGTTTGAATAAAGTACGGGCTCCTGTCATGTATCCACTTGCTCAACTACAACCCCAAACTCCAGTTATATAAACACACACATATGTATATTTAAATGTACATATATATGTACATATGTTGTATTCCTTTTGTGAAAAGTGAAATTAATTGTTGCTTCTTGGAGTATGCATGCATATCTAAAGGTATTTGATTTTTTCGAACGTACAGTACGTATATGTAAATCTCACATTAATTAAAGGGGAAGCGAACATATCGACGTATGTGTGTATGTAATTAAATAATGAAACTGAATTGTAGTTGTTTTATTGTTTCTAAAATTAACTTCTCATTTTTCTTAATGAATATGTTAGCAATTGTCCCCATTGCCCATTTTACTCCTTCAAAATTAAGTATGTATTTGAAAAAAAGGTTTTATATAATTTAATTTTCATTACGTCTACCACAACGTTCCAATAATTCACTGCGACTTGCTGCGCTCGCTCAACGCTTAACAAACATACGGAAATTACCGCGCGCGCGTTCTCACTGTAACACCGACAATCAGAGACTGAAAGAGATTCAAATGAGAAAAAAGCGTTGTAATAAGTCTACATCAAGTCAGGGATGAAAAAATGGGTACAATTGTACGTTTTCCGGAGTTTGATGACTTAAAGGTACATTAGGTACCGTCACTATATTTAAGGTACAATCTTTTGATCAGATGCATTTCTAATTTTTTTTTCTTTTTCCTTTACCGTGCTAATTAATAACTTTGCTTGTAGGTACGGGAGAAATTTCGCTTTCATTTTAAAGAATAAACAATTCTAAAATAAAGTGGTCAAAAGGAAGAAATTAAAAAAGTCATATTATGTATTTTCTTAAACATTTTGCATTTAGAGCAGCCCATATGAAAAATTAACACTTTACTTAGCTATCCTCAAATTCGTAATTTTTGCTATCAATTTTGACGCTTATTTTCACTAAGTCAAATTCAATGGCATTTGCGGTCAAATGAGTGAAAACAAATTGTCAAATGGGACTAAAAAATGGTTTTTTGATTGATTTAGATCGGCGTGTACATGCGCTGCTAAAGCGGCTATTTGTAACTTTTTGGCCCATAATATCATCGATAAAGGTAGGGAATATCATCGGTAAAGGAAAGAAAGATGAGAACTATAGCTTTTTGACCCATATTCGCTTTTTGATTTCTGGAAATATATTTAAAATATTGTAGGTGTTCTGAGAGGGCTCTGCTTTTCAATTGCCCACCGAGCCCAAAGTAGCACCTGTTGGCGAGAGTTATTCTTCGTTTGATCTCCAGGCTGACGTTGTTTGTGGTGTTTTTCGGGATCCTAGGTAGAAAAAGTCCTTCACTACTTCAAGGTATATCTGCCAACAGTGACGTGTGTCCCGAAACGCGTGGACTCCTTATATGTTGCCAGGAGGTACTTTGTCTTGCCCTCGTTCACCGCTGGACCAACCTCTTTAGCTTCTTTTTCTAAACTGGAAAATGCTGNGACCAACCTCTGTAGCTTCTTTTTCTAAACTGGAAAATGCTGCGGTTACGTCCCTTTGTTTCAGACCTACGATATCGATATCATCTGCATACGCTAGCAGCATCGTTCTTTTGCGATATATGGTGCCGCTCAGATTGGCAGCTTGGCAGCCATACATACAGTGGTCAAAAAATTATAGCCGAACCGCTTTTTGCCAAGTTTTAACGTATTATTTTTGTTTTTATTGAACTTTTGTTATTTTTTTTATAAAAATATAGTTCATTCTTTAACAAAACCCGTGTTAATCCAAGTTTCCAAATTTGTGCAGTATTAAAAAAAAAATCAATAAACTTTCGTACAAGTTTCGAACGTTTTAAAAATTCTAAAAAATAAATCGAATTTTTTAGCCATTTGAAATTGTACTTTATTCCATTAGAATTCAATGGGCTACAAAACTGCATACTCAGAATTTAATTAAAAACCGCGAAATTTTAACGAAAATTTGTTGATTTTTTTTTTTTAATTGAATAAATTTTTAAGGCTGTGATTGGTTCATGTGTACATTTTTATATCGGGCTAGTGGTAAAAATAATTAAATAACAGCAAAAGTAATATTTTAAAACTTGTGAAAATTTGGTGCGGCTATAATTTGTTCCACTACTGTACATAAGTTTACAATGATTACTCGGCCGTGCTATCATAGTAGCACAATGCCACTAAGCGCATTTTAAAATTTTCAGGCAATAGCCCCATGCGATTGTCGATTATATTTTTTGTTGTTTGTGTGAAATATTTTGTTTTTATCGGTATTCTTCTTTTAATCAAAATATGTTGAAATAAGTGAAACTAAAAAAAAAATTCCAGAACCCCCCCTCCCCCCACCACCCAAAAAAAAATCCTGGCTACGGGCCTGGATATAGGCTCAGGTAAAAAAAAAACCTAATCATGTTTAAAGTACAACCGTCTTTTGTATTCACGTTTTAAATAAGATTAGAAAAAAAACTACAAATGAAGGATGTAACTTTTTTTAGGTACAATTTGTCTCATTTAGGTACATTTATTTTATGGTATTTGGTACAATCTGATATTTCCATTTTTCATCCCAGCATCAAGTCTGCATTGTATTCGGAACGGAAGCGAGGGGGGTTTGTTCGACAAAGTACACTTTGATGGCAGTTAACTTTTTCACCACTCTGCGTGAACATAAAATATATTTATTTACTTAACGCCAATTGGCTTGGCCAATAAAGAGCGAAAAAGCAATGAACACAAAAATATCATAACATAGGTATAATTAATTAACAATTGCATGGAAATAAGTAGGAACCAACTAACAACATGCATGCTCCAACAACATGCATGGGGGGACTAGACAAAAAAAAAATTCAAAACCAATAACTTATTTACTAAAAAATTGTTTATTAAAGTTTAAAATTATTGTAACCAATAGAGCTAAATACGTTGTATAAAAACACATAATCAGAAGTTCACAAAAGTTGATATAAAACCATTCGTCGATTTAAATAGTTAACTTTTTACTGCGTATGTTTATTTTACGAGGAATCATCGAAAGCCCAAGAATGATAGAATACAATATTGCGCCAATCGAGCTGAGAGAAACTGGGTGTGACGTCACATTATTTTGAGAATGAGAGTGTAAAGAATAATTTTGAAGAAGAAGAAGCGAACAAGTGGTGCGAAATAGTGATGTAAAACTAGGTTGAATTGTACCTACTCTTCAGCTTCTTAAATTTGAACGTACATTCGGTACAAGCACATTATTTTAGGTACATTTGGAACGTAGTAAAATATTGTTTCATGTAAGTAGAAAAATTGTTATGGTACAAAAGGAAGATGTAGTCCACCAACTACCAAAAATATGTGCACATAAAAATACATGTTCACTGTTTAGGTACGTGTATCCTCCTTTAGGTACAATATGAAACTTTAGTATTCATCACTAGTGTGAAAAAATAATAATGTGACGTCAGCGAGAGGGTGGATGCTGTCAAATCGGGAAAGAGAGGACTAGCGGTCCGCGGAAGGCGCCACCTTTGTTTCGCTGCATCGTGTCGAAAGCCTAACCCCGTCAGTGTGAGACTTTAACCCATACTAAACTTCCTACCGTTCCCCTCCCGGTACCACAGTTAAAGATTTCGTCTGGATTATAACACTGTGTGACTGATAAGATTATAGTTCTATTCTCTTCTTATTTGGCGCCAAAGCGATTTTGGCCGAGTTCAACAAAGCACGCTAGTCGTTTTTCTTCTGTGCCATACACCAGCACGGCCATGATGAGTGTCTTATAGAGTGTGGTTTTCGTACGTCGAGAGAGGACTTTACTCCTGAATTGCCTACTCAGTCCAAAGTAGTGATTCTGCGTTGGATTTCCATGCTGACATTATTATCGTTGGTAATGCTGGTTCCCAAGTAAACTAAATTCTCTACTTTCTCGAAATTGTAACTGTCAACAGTGACGTGGGTGCCAAGGCGCGAATGTGCTGACTGTTTGTTTGATGACAGGAGATACTTCGTCTTGTCCTCGTTTACCACCAGATCCCTTCGCTTTGCTTCCTTATCCAACTTGGAAAAGGCATAAGAGACTTCNGCTTTGCTTCCCTATCCAACTTGGAAAAGGCAGAACAGACTTCGCGGTTTTTGTTACCGATGATGTCGATGTCATCGGCATAAGCCAGCAATTGCACGCTCTTGTAGTAAATTGTTCCTGAGCGGTTCAGTTCTGCAGTTCTTATTATCTTCTCCAACATCAGATTAAAGAAGTCACATGAAAGGGAGTCGCCCTGTCTGAAACCCCGTTTTGAGGTGAACGGCACGGAGAGATCTTTCCCAATTCAGACGGAGCTGGTGGTATTGCTCAACGTCATTTTACACAGCCGTATGAGTTTTGAGGGGATGCCAAATTCAGGCATAGCGGCGTATAGGTAGCTCCTTTTAGTGCTGTCAAAAGCGGCTTGAAAGTCGACAAATAGGTGGTGAGTGTCGATCCCTTTCTCGCGGGTCTTTTCCAAGATTTGGCGTATTGTGAATACCTGGTCTATGGTGGATTTGCCAGATCTAAAGCCACACTGATAAGGTCCAATCAGTTCATTGACGGTGGTATTTAGTCTTTCACACAATACATTCGATAAGACCGTGCAAGCTAAATATGCTTAGAAGGCTGATCCCACGGTAGTTGGCACGCATGGCGGGGTCGCCTTTCTTGTGGATTGGGCAGAGCGCACTTGAATTCCGGTCGTCGGGCATGCACCTTATTAGCTCCCTGCCATCGTAATTGAATAGATCAGTTGACAGGCTGTCATCTCAAGCAGCTTTGTTACCTTTCATCAGCATAATCGCTATTCGTACCTCGTCATAGTCAGGCGCTGGGATATCGACTCCATTGTCATCGACTGGGGACTCGGGTTCATCTTCTCAATTTCTTTAGTGCTTCTGCCATTCAAAAGTGTCGAAAAGTTTTTCCTCCATTATTTGAGTACATTCTGGACATCGGTCGCTAGGTCGCCATGGTTGTTCTTACAGGAGTCTTGAAACCAGTCGTAAGTCGCTCAACTCTGCTAAAAATTTCGGGTGTGTTTTCTGTCGGCCAGCATTTCAAGCATTTTTGTCTGCAGCTTTTTGACAATCCTCGGTCCTCCTGTCGGTTTGTTGAAGATTGCTCTCTCACAGCAGGTGTGAGGTTTGATTGGAGATTTTCGACCTTTCAACTGCATTGTTGGGGGCCCTTTTTTGCTGCACCGAGGTGTATTGGCTGCATCAATATAGTGGTGCGAGTCGATGTTTAGCCCTAGGAGTGTACGTGTGTACATCTAAAACACTGGAAGCATGCCTTCCGTCTATCACAACATGCTCGATTTGGTTTCCCATTTTTCGATCTGGAGACACCCATGTAGCTTGATGAATCCTTTTATGCTAGAACCCAGTACTACATACTGCCATGTTTCGGGATACCTCGTCCTTGTTTTCCATCGGGGCATCGGCACATATGAGCGAGATGTTAAAGAATCTCGCTTTGATGAGGATTGTGGCTAGACTTTC